CGTGATCAGAAAGATTGTTATATTCCCCCTCCTCTAGAGGGATCATGGAGAAATCTAAGTGTTTAGAATTGTATTCTTCCAGATTCTTGTGATATAAATCTAGAATTATTCATAGAAAAATAGAATAAAATATGAGGTGTAAGCATATATTGATTCAATATATTAACAATAAAAAAATTATAAAACATATACGAGATAACAAAATAATTGAAAAGTAGAAACTAATAAAAAAATATAAGATAATAATCATTTACATTAAATATATTTAAAAAAAAAACTAGTGTTCAATGAATAATAAAATAGTAAAATAAAATGATTGCATGTGTAGCACATATCAAAATTGTAACATGTATGTATATTTGGGTATAAAAGAAAATATATAAAATAAGGGACTAAGAAAATACCACAGATGTAATAAATAGAGATAACTGAGTATATAAGATGCCCTTAGTTTATCAAAAAAGAATATGAAACATCTTTTAAACTTCTTTGGTTCCTTCCTTTCCAAACCATCCATAAGGCACCCAAAGGAGTAAAAGAAATAAGATTTCCTCTTATTCCATTAACATCAATACCTTATCAAGTCCATATCTCATATATCATAGTTGTACCACATTTTATAGGAAATCAATACAACATATACAGTTAAAAAGAAAAATTGATATCGTAACAAGAAGTTGATAAAGATTCTTGATGTGAATCCAGACAACAAGGGAAATTCTTACAAGAAAATTCAAATGTGCAAACCAAAAGAAGGTAAGGATATTCAAGATGGACATGGGGAGCTAGGAAATTGGATCCAAGTGTTTTCCTGACCAATCACAAGAAGCTGAGCCAATAAATTCCAAACTGTATTCAATATGCTGGCCCAAGAATGGGTGAATGAGGGACCTACATGGAAGGTCCAAGAGCGGGACCAAGATAACCCATTCGACCTTGGAGAATAGAGGGTAGCACGTGCTACACATATGAATGTACTTATCCACACGTGCAGGCATCCACTTGTGCGAGAAGGAGGTCTTACTGTAAAAGCTCGAAACTCCTATTAAGGATTTTGAGTAATTAGCATGATTCTAATAATATAGTAATATTAAAATTATCATTTCATAAAAGAATTTAAAGTTTAAAGATTACATTCCTTATATGTTAACTTAAAAATACCTAAAAAAAGACTAATAGAATATTTAGAACCTAAAACAATAAAACTACTACAAAATAATAATTAATCTCAATTCAAATCTGACGGAACGGAAAAGAATACTATCCTAACTATTCTCTCACTATTCGGGATCTGAGTTTTGATCATCTTGATATGAAATGATTAATAGGAAAGGGAGTGAGGTACACTAACTTAATAAGGATACAAAAAACTTTACTACTGACACAATAACCAAAGGGTTATAGAAAGTCATAAAACAACTGATAGAGTATATTTTTAATTAAAAATAATACTGGTGTGGTCACACTCTTCCTTTTTATGAAAACTATTTTATTACCTATTTTTTTATTAAATAATATTCATACATAACATTAAGATATATTCAGGAATATAGTAAAAATACGATTAATTCTTTAACATCTCACCCAAACTAGAGTTATTCACAATATCCATTTCTGTCATATTATTTTTATTTCTACTACTAGTATCGTTGTGGGTCCATAGAGATCTCAGCTACACGTAGATACATAAATATTTCATTTGTAAATCATTAGTCATCCACATACCCCGTCCGATAATTGGTGCTACAATTAAAGATCATCTCAATACACTATCCGGTATGAGCGTAATTAATTAACTCATAACCTCGTTCTGTATGAGACTTACCAGGCCCATATAACTGAGGACACATCCACTATAGGGTTTACCCTATGTACAAAGTCTGTACACTCTCACTCAGGATACCGGCAAGACCTTGATTTATATTCATATTTACACATGCATTTAATTATATAACTTTACACTATTCAAGAGATTAATGACATACAAAACCTGTACATCACTAAAACGAGAAACATGTGAATCATGCTCTGCCATTCATTTAAGGACCAAATCAAAATTCAACTAAAATGATGCAAGTGGAATGCACATTCCATAAATTAAACCAGCACTATTAATAAATGTTAAGATAAAACCAACAAAATAAAAAGAAGAAATGTACAGAATAAAATAATCATCACAAGATAAATGAAA